CAATAATAATATACTATGAATTCTATTTATTTTAATTATAATGATATTTTTCCAATCAATATGTGATTAATAAAATTACACTATTTGTAAAGTAAACCAACATTAGGCCAAATAATTTGTAATATCAATTTTTATTCATATAATCATATTGCGCGTGGTGTACCCAAGGTTACATAAAAAAAGAAATATTTGAGAGGTAACATGGCAGTTTTTAATGGTAAGTTCTTAAAAAAAAATAGACTTGTAGATACTATATCAAAACATACTTTGATCAAACATTATTTTACAGGCGTATACATTAGTAAAAATAAGAATTTTGAACATAAAAGGTCTAAATAAATTAAATTAATAGTCTCAAAAAATAGAATAATACTCTATAATAAACTGAAGACCAATATTTTAAAAATTAAGATTGGAATTTAAAATTTTTAGATAAATGCAAATAATTTTTGTTCATAAAAATGTACAGAAATAAACTAAAATTAAATTTTAACATGCCACTGTTACATTACACCAAAAAATAAACCTAAACAAATTATGTTAAAAATTTAAAAATCACTAGTTTGGCCATAAAAGAAATAAAATGATTAGAAAAAAATTCTCAGGATTTAAAAATGGAACCTAAGCTTTTTTATATTTTAAATATTTCTTGAGAAGTTGATTGGCTTCGTTATCCGTTTCTTTGTCCTAAAATAATTGATTTTGTTATTTTAAAACCATATAATCAATAATATTATAGTATGACTATTATTTTATTGACCTCAGAATCCTTAACGGGAAGCTGCAATGCTTTTTCCAACCAATTCACCGCAGTTTCATACTCGTTTTTTGCTAGATAACATTTGGCAAGATGTAGGTGACAGTCTTTTAGCTGAATTGGGGATTCTTGTTGAAATTTTAAAAATAGTTCAATAGCATCTGGTATTGTACCTTTAGGTACTTCTCCATACAACCAACTGGCTATACGACGGTCAAAAGATGATAAAACAGCAACCTAAATAGATATTATTATTTGTGATTAAGTTGTAGACTAATCAATAAATTCAATAAATTTTACTTCATATTCAAGTTTTCCTTTTAAGTAATATAAAGTTGGATCACGAGAATTGATTTTTATTGCTTCATTTATGTGGTTTTGAAATACATAACCTCCTTCAATTTTTTCTTTAGTTGTTCCTAACTGACCTCGAGCACCACTACAGATAGCAAACCATTTGTGTGCATTGCAATTCCCTGGATACATTTCTAAGGCATGCTTTGCCCATTTTACACCTGAAAAAAATATATTTTAGAATTTATACTTAAAATATTTTAGAAATGTCCAACCTTCATCAATAACTTCTTTACTCTTTTCTGTATTTTTTTTTGCTGCAGTATAATATTTAGATACAAATTGACATGATTTTGCTAACCTCCAAAGTACCTCAATATCATCTGTTCGCTACATAAATTAATTAAAACATTATTGAGTCGGTAAATATGTAATAAGAAAGAAAAATAAAACAATTTACTTCTTCATTAAGGCGTACTAAAATTTCATAAGCTTTAAGTTTGTCTTCATCGGAACCTTCAAATAATTCATCTACTTGATCAAAAATATCATCACTGAGTAAAGAAGGTCCGGTGTAATGATCGTTAAAATGTTCGGAAGACAAACTAACATCTGGACTAAAGAAACAATGTACATTTATGATTTTTTTACTGGTAACAAATCAGAGAAAAAAATTATTTACTTTTCATTCATAATATTTGAATGTTGCGATTCTTCGTTTTCTGATGACATATCGTGAAATTCGTCGTCAGTTCCTAGCGCTGTATACAGACTAGCTTCACTTGTTACACTGGTGCTACTTGATAGGGCTGATCTTTTTCCTGATTTAATAATTTTTTTCCTAAAATGAATATAACATGAACAATTTATAAACATTTAAAATTAAATATTAAAAACATTTACTTTAATGCTTTAAATTCTGCTTGGAGATCAAGTATTGCAATATTTAATTCATCAACTTCCTGTTTTAATAATAGTTTTTCTTTTTTTTCTAGTAGTCGAGTTATAAAAACTACCCCAACTGAACCAACCGTTATTCCAATTCCAACTGCAACAGCTATTACTCCCTTTAACCAATGCGGATCTGTTGACATTACATTTGGTGTTCCTACACAACACAATAATCAGACACAAGACACAAAAACACCAAATGTTTCTATCACCTTATTATACAGTTGTATAAGATTGGACTGCACATTTATTAAATTTACATAGATACCTATCTTTCAACAAATACTATGAATTATTGATTTATGAATATATAAATAAATTAAGTCCACTTTTTTTAACTTCTTGGGTTAATCATTTTGAATTTTACTTCTAAATATATAAATAAAATCTTGTTTCTTTAAAATAGTTTTAAGGTAGGTAATAACAAATATAATTGAAGAATCAATGCATTTTTTTATTACGCACTTAAAAATAATCATTTTAAGGATACAATGAACTATAACACAAATCAAAATACTTAAATAGTTGAACATTTTAACAAAAATTATATACTTGTTGAATAGATACTCTGCATTAACTGTACAATTATACAAAATAAGTTCAAAATATGTAGTAAATAAAAACTGTTAATTAGCTTATACTTGGTCTAAACATAGACAAAATAAAAATGAACTAGAAGATTGGTTTTGATTTAGTTACTACTTAACAATTTTATAGTTTTATTGATACAATAATTTTTTTAATAGGTGGTTTAAGTAAAAGTAAATATTATTTAACTTAATTTTTTTTTTATTTCTAGATAATTTATAAGTAAATAAAAATGTTCATAATAAAAACCCTCAATTTATGTACCTTCTATTTAATATCTTAATACATCATTTATAATAGTATAATAAATTCAATTTCTTTGGTTATTAATTATTAGATATTATTTTAATATGTTACTATGTATATCATTTTTTTACTAATTTCAAAGTTCAATAATTATTACGCTGAACAAATAATAAGAATCTTACATATTTATGTATTTACAAATGTATTAAAACAAATTGTAATTACCTACCAATGTAATTTTTTTAAATGGTATTCTACAAATAATTATTATGGATGTTCAGTTTGTTAAATAGTTATACTTATTAAAGTGTAAAAAAAAGTTATATTTTTATCATTAAGACATTAACCTATCATTAATTATTACTCACTTACACACAATAATATGCTCTAAGATAATGTATTATTTTATACAGTTTATTGTAATTAATATATTAGATACCTACCTTATTTATCTTTGATGATTATTAATGCAAACACAATATAATTTTAAATTCAAACAAATAACTTATTAGAAAATATTTCAAGATCTATTTTCAAATAATAAAATTATAATTGTTCTTATTATTAATGTATGACATCGTAGATAAATATTTAGTGTAATTTTTAAAAAATATTCACCCATTATAATTGGTGGTGCAATCACAATCAAAAGCACATTTTATGCATTTTATAGTTTTTCTCATTATGATAGTGTACTCAATAGGTAGTACAAATATTTACCTGTTATATACCTTCTAATTTACAACATAACCAACACCAAATTTTTAAGATAAATATATATTATATATACACACAATATTGAGTAACAACATATATTTTGTAATTTAATACTATCAATTTCAATTGTTCATTTTTATTTTTATCAAAATACTTAACCGAACCTATTAAAAAAAAGTTAAAATAATTACTGATTATATCACTATCAATTTTATATTTTATATTACATATTGTAATTAAAATTTAAAATGTTACTTTATAAAAACTAAAAAAAATATATAAAATATTTGATCATTATTTGTGAATTCTAAGTGTCATGTTATGCACACTTATAACTATTTAAGTACAAATTTGACTGAATGTAGTTTTTCCACATAGTTCACATAATTGAGCAGTCTAATCCACAATCATCAAATAGAATAAAATATTTAAATCTACTTAAGATCATAATTCAACTAATGACCAAGTTCATGTACATATTCACAAATGTCAATTCTTGTCACAGTAAACATTCATTATTTCAAAAACTACTAACTTTGTTCACTCTGCACAGTGTTTATTATGTTAATATAAATTCGGTCATTACTTGTATTATGATTTTTATTTTTTGTTTAGATTTAAATAATTACTTTTAATCTCCACATTACACAAAAAATATTAAGATATAACATAGTTTGTTATAAATTATAATATAAAGTCAAGTGCCAATTCCCAATAACTATACATAACCATAATTGAATTGTTAAGTACCTGTTCAAAACATGTCCGTCGTAACACCAAACACAAAAGGATCGTTGAAGTTAAGCTACCAAAATGACACAATACAAAAAAAGAAGCAAGATAAAAACCTACAGGGTATGCAGTAAAATGAATGGTTGATAATCTTAATAGTTTTGGAAATCAGACCAAAGCTATTAAATATTATCTGAACAATCTAGTTTAGGGCAATTTAAATCGGTATTTAGAAAAATAAAATTAAAAAAACAAAAATAAGAGAGTATTAAGAAAAACAAGAACTGTTTAACAGGTGTTCTAAATTCGTGCTGTTAATAAATTATATAGATAGGTAGGGTATTGTATATTGTTAATATTCAATTGAATTCACTTACCCTTAAGTCCGTTTATTAATGTGTTCAGAGGTCATATATGGTAGCCTGGACTGCCGCAGTGGGAAAATACTATCTAAACTCTAAAGATATTTTAAAATGTATTCAATAGGCGCAATTTATGAAAATCATTAGACTGATATTGAGTATTGACATAACAGATTACAAGAAGTCAAGAACTTACTATAGAAAGAAAGAAACCTTATGAAAAAATAAATAAAACCATGTATTCGAAGTTCGTGACGGTTAAAAACATATCTGATGTCTACAATTTATAGTATGATGGAAGTTAGCAACTATGCTGATAAAAGAACCCAGATAATATTGTTCTGCGTGATAATAATCGATGTATGATAACTGGTAGTCGGTACGTGAAAGTAAAATTTGATGTCGTTATGAATTTATGATTGATGATTAATACAATTATCGTTGCATGATGAATTATTATGATGTATCTTAATTAATAATTATTATTTCTCTTTTCTTTCATTCTTTGATATTTTAAGAGTAATTATTTACAATTGTACTACTTGACAATGGTCCACGGTTAAAGATTACCGTATGACTGTAAAAGTATCTTTATTTGTTTCAATACAAAAATCCTCATAAAAACATTCATATTTTGCATTTTAAGAAAACATTTTGTGACAAATACATTTCAAAACACACATAATCATTTCTGAATTTGGTTTTATATAATAAATACATTGATACACTTTAACACAATAGATATTTATACTGCTTAGACTTTGATTTGAACACAAATTTGATAACTAGCAAAAAAAAATAATGTCAAAAGCATCAAGAAAGGTCTTACTGGGTTTTGTGGACGAACATATTGAGAGTGAAAGCTGTTCTGATGATTCATACACAATAAATAAAATTGGAGGATTTTCTGTAAGTAGTTAAGTTAGTTAGCTAAATGAATAAGAACTGTTTTTAAAAATTGGTTTTTTTTATAAGGATACTCAGAATTTTTCACCAAAATGTCCACTGTGTAATCGCCGTACACCATTACTAATTCAGATATATGCCCCTCTTATAAATTCTATTTACCATAGAACTTTATATATTCATGCATGTGTAAGTCCTGGATGTTGGAACAAATCTCAGAGGTAAAGTATTGAGTATAAAGTACCCATTGAATCCTTTATTAAATTATATTTTTTAAATAATTTTTATTCAGTTGGATATGTTTGAGACGGCAGTGGGTTGCAGTAGATGATTATGACGATAAGCAGCAGTCCCCAACATTTATAGAATGGTGTGATGATGCTGACGACTGGGGTGAGGAACCTTTAACTGAAGAAAATGGTAATTCTACTGTTAAAAGCCAAGCAATTGAAATTTGTGATTCTGCAAGTGCTGAGTTAGAAAATTCTGATGCTGATGATAATGTAGTTGCTGAACCAATTGAAATACCAAATACAAATTGTCTTCAATTATTAGATAGTAGAAAAGAAATACCTTCAGTAAGTTCTTTATTAATTTGGATATTATATTTATGTGTATAGGTAAAAATAAAAAATAAAGTAAAGATAGCAAAAATCATTTAATATTTTCATGCTAGGTACCACACATAAAGAATTGTTTAAAAGTTTTTGCAAAAGTCAATTTTTGTATAAGAGTTTACCATTTAGAATTATTAAAATTTTAGTAATCAATTAGCTACCTATAATAAAATGCATGAGCCTAGACAGGGTTCTTGTTATTTTAACAATAGTCTATAACAGCGATTCTCAACCGGAGGGTCGCCAACAATGATTTTAGGGTCGTCAATCCATGTGGGATAAAAATTTTTTCACTTAGAATCTTATAATTAATAGTAAGTGTTATAATATATATATTGGATAGTCCGATAGTCGATAAAAACGTTCATTGAAGTGTGCATAATATACCTTTTTTTGTGAAATATATACACAAATAAATACAATAATAACAGTTGGTTCAATTATTTAATACTTACATTATAAAAGGGTCGTTGGACATCTTGGTGACATTATAGGGGGTCGCGAACTCTAAAAGGTTGAGAACCGCTGGTCTATAAGTTACTTAAACAAAAAATAACCAGCCAAGTTAAAAATGTGTTTTAATATTTACTTAAATTAACATTGTGATGTTAAAACTAATTGATGAATGAGTTCTTTGAGTCTGGATATGAATTTTAAGTTTTGTTTTTTTTTTTTGCTATCATAGTTTATGTTGAATTCAGTAAAAAAAATGTACTTATCTTCCAAGCAAATAATTACTAATATTGTATAATTATGTATACATTTAATAAAAGTAATACAAATCATAAAATATAATGGTTGACAAACTATACTTTTGCCTAGTAATAATATTAATAGAATTGAATTAATTCGTCAATACCTTTATAATAGTCTGTTGGGGGAATAGATCCCCTTGACCTTTTTTTACAATGTTGAAGATCCTCAATTTTGGGTGTTTTTAATAAACAAATAGTGCATAAAGGTAGACATAATTTATGAACATTGATAGTTTATATATTAAAATTTGTAATTATAAACATAATAATATTTACAACAGGATCACTTTAACATGAATGTATATTTTGAGCCATATTATATATCAGTAGCTTATGAAGAATCGTCTGATAAAGTAAAAGAGCATGCAAATAACTTATTACACAACTATCAAAATAATGAAATGATTCTTGAAGAAAAAAATGAAGGATATGAAAAGAGTTTACCAGCACATGGTGATAAGTTTTTTGAAACATTTGCATCAATAATAAGAAAAAATCCTGGTCAAATTTTACGGTTTGTATAATAATATCAATTTGATGTCTTCTTTCTTCTATCTACATTCCTGTCGATAATATTAGAAAAACTATTACTAAACAATTTTTGTTTAGGTATTGTCGTACTGAAGGTAAACCATTATTTTTATATGAAGAAAGTGAACCAAATAAATGTACCAACTGCCAGGGTAAATTATTATTTGAGTTACAAATTCTTCCATCATTAATTACATATTTGAAACTAATATGTGGAGACGATCACCTTGGTAGTGGACACTTAGAATTTGGAACAGCTCTAATATACACTTGTGAAAATAATTGTTGGAATGAAGGAGATACTTATAAGTATGAATGTGTTATAGTTCAAGAAGAAAAACTATTTTAAATTTTTATATTTATCTATTAAAATATTTGAACAATCAATAAAATATAGAAATTTTATTTGAAATGTAATCATAAAAAATGGTTGTGTAATTTTCTCATTTGCATTGGACAGAAGCACAGGTTTTAAAAAAAAAATCAAGATAACCCATCAAACTATGGATTGTTACATTTTTTACATTAGTTTTACTTATAATTAGAATGTAAGTACACAAGGCCTATGTAAACATGCCGACAATTAAAATATTAACATTTGTAATTCAGGTAAATCAATAAAATGTTCACAATTATAATCGTCATCAAACATTAAAATTTGTAAAATAAATTTCCAAAAAATTATCGCTCATAATAACAAATTGTTTTAAAACCCAAAGAAGAAGTAATACATATAACATTCTTAATGTAAAAATGTAATATCAACTACTTTTTCTCTGTTATAATATGATAAATAAATAACTGTATCTCAGTGCCAACATTTAAAGTATAAAAATAGTGAATCTATATTTGAACACACATATAAAGTATTTTTTTTTAAATGTTCATTGAACTAGGTTTATTATAAATAATTATTAATTCACAGAAATATTGTATTCTTTAGAAAAATTGATGTTGGTATAATAAAACTCATCACTGATGACTGCAGGGCTCGTAAGTTCATGCACTAAAAAATGCATAGATATTAGATAAGCATGCATTCATGCACTAAAAAGTTTGAAAATATGCATTCTTATGCCCTAACATTTTTTAAATTATGCACTCGAAATATGCATTTTGTAAAAAATTCATGAGCAAATTTTAAAATAATTAGAATTCACCCATCAGTTTAAAAAGTATTTTATTCCTTTTGATTTTTATACATTTAACAATCAAAATTAATAAAATGAATACTTGTGAAGTTCATAAAATCATGGGGCCTTGTCATCTTTATCAATTTTAATTAGGTAGTCATTTTCTGTCTAATTTTTGAACACCATAATCCAGCACCTATAAATGAAAACATTTGGAATGAAATATTAGGTATTTCACACTTTTATGACTCGTACAATTAAACAACTCATAGCCGACTGGCGAGTGCAAGAAAACTATGCTGTACCAATGTACAAAATTATAGATGTGGGTCGGTAAGAAACATTGCACAAGAGTACATGCCTGCAGGCGCGTAGCCAGGGGGGGTGTTACAGGTGTAATAACACCCCCCCTCAGCCGTGGTATACTTAATATTTTTTTATCAAGATAAAGATGCATCATTACGCAGAATAGAATAATCATAAGTATAAGCACGAATCGTAAATCGTGATTTACACTTATTTATAAAAATGAAGTATATTAGTTTATATTACGATAACAATAATGTAAAGCACTAAAGCCGGGATCCGGGCGATCCGGCATTAATTAGGTACTATTTTAGACCGTTCTGTGACGTTTTATCGATTACTCGTTTCATGCACGATTTAATAATATAATATATCTTTTCATGCAGCGTGTAAGAAAACGTTTACAACTTCAATTATTGATTATTTGATTATCATGATCATGATGAACTATCGTAAACATAGATATCTATGATCTATCAGCTATCCGAATGTTATTTCACTTATCAGTTCTGTGATAACAAATAAAACTAATTAATATTTAATAAAATATGTTATTATGTTCATAAGTGCTATATGTTTGCAATAGCCAATAAGTTCAACATTTTTTAAATTTTAAATAATTATTAACTATGGAGGCTACAAAGAAAGGTATTAAAAGAAAAAGCACTATTTTATCATACTACACAAAAACACCTAAAGTACAAACTGATAATCTCGGCGAAAATGACAAATTAGTAAGTGGTTTAAATTTGTAAAAGTTGAAAATGATTCTATTATGTGTTATACCAATTAAATGACTTAATTTTAATAAGAATGAAACGGAAGTGGTAGTATCATTAGCTGAATCTGCATTAACTCCATTCAATCACAATTCACAATCCATGTCTGAACAGCACAATGAAAATAACAAATTAGTAAATATTATGAATCAAATACTTGCATGTATTAATATTTTTTGTGTAAATTTTAAATTTAAATTTTATTAGATTGAACCATCAGCATCTGCTCTTCAAACAGTTATTACTCCTACACAAATAGATATTGGTTTATTTATTGGTCAATTTGAACAGGAAGTATCTGCAATTGGCGAGTTTACAATATGGCATCATCAGATGAAAAACAAAAACCCTAAAAATGCTACGGAAGCATTCATTAATTGCAATGAAGAAATATTTCCTACGGTTCATCAACTTTTAAAAATATTGATTACTTTACCAGTAACCACTGCAAGCAGTGAAAGATCTTTTTCCTCATTACGGCGTTTAAAAACATATTTGAGGAACACGACTGGTGAAAATCGGTTGAACGGCTTAGCAGTTATGAATATTCATCGGGATTTAGTCGTAACCACTGACGAAATAATTGATACTTTAGCTTTAAAAAATAGACGCATTAAATTAGTTTAATAAAAAATAATTTTTTTTTTTATTAATCATAATAATATATATGTGAAAAATTTAAATATACCTACGTAAAGTTATCAATTTTGTGTGTATAATTTTTTCAATTAATTTTGAATAACACCCCCCCTTAGAAATTTCTAGCTACGCGCCTGCATGCCTGTGTAGGTATCGTTTCGACGACGGACTCTGTACGGCGGAGGATAGTAGTGGTAGCGATAACATTATTTCCGCGGTACTAAGTAAAACGCATAAAATCTAAATAGGTAAATATACTAGGATGCCTTGGAAGTCACAAGAGAATAAAAATAAATCAAAACACCATCATTCAGTAAACAGGAAAGTAAATATGAAACAAGATATATGAAAAAACGATTATATGCCAAATATACCTACAGTTTTACACGCAAAGCATGCAAAAACATGCACTATTAAACTTTATATTCTCAATACTATTGTTATGAAACGGATTTGTATCTCAGTTAGCATGTTTTCCTGTGTAGCAAAAAAAAAACATGCAAAAGAATGAACCTACGAGCCCTGCTGATGGGTCATCAGGTTAAAAAGTTTTATTATAAAAATCTAAACTGGTTATCTGATCATTATTCGAACTTCATGTACCTATTACCTCATTTTGTCTTATTGAATAATATGATTAAAACTTATACCTAGTTGAATCTGTGGTTTTATATCAATATAGTTTAATTAAAATTATACTTATGCAAGATGAAAAAAATTTTGATCGTAGAGCGACTGATATTTTTGGCATTTCATATACCTATTACCTATTATGTTCTTTTGTTTAGAAAATATTTAAATATTCATTATTTATAGAATATATTATGTGATGTTTTAAATAAAAATTATTTCTATACAGGGTGTTTCTGAAGTGTGTGAGGTAATTAGTATACGCATACTCACTGTGATGCCACAATGAAAATTTTTTTGGAATTTTTTTTCTAACTTCAAAATCTGGGTTTTTTAAATTTATTTTGAGAATATTATCTTGAATGTAAAAATAAACACCCTAGTCGTATTTTTTGCAAAATTCTCATACGAATCGAGATATCACATCATTTTTGCGCTTGTAGCGCGTTTTTCGCGCTCGAATCGCCAACTAAAAAAAAAGTCGTGCGATACATCGATTTGTATGAGAATACTGCAAGATAATCAGTGGTGATAATTATTTGTTGTCATTGATAATACACGATTAATTAATACATTGTTTTACATTGTCGACTAATAAAAAATATGAAATAATAACAAAATTAGGGTTAATAGAGTTTTAAACGATCAAATTTTACTAGCATACATTTGTGTCATACCTTTATTAAATAACTTTTAACATTATAAAGTTATAATAGTTAGAGATAAAAAAACTACCTATTTGTGTGTTTATACTGAAATTCCAGTTTTTGGATATCATTGTACCTAACATAATTACTTTGACTCGATAAGATAAACATTTTATTTTATACTATTATTATTTATTAGTGAACCTAATATTATACTTTTATCGTTAATATTGAATTGACCGTTCTCCTTACAGAGTACATGATGAACATTAGTTGGTCTGATTAGAGCTCAGTAGTCAGTCCAATACTTGTCATTGAACGACATTTAAAATATTAATATTTCATTTTAAGATTTAAAGTTTTTAATTTAAATTTTGATTTTTGCGCAATGGCGTACACAAACATTGAATATGCAGACATGGTTTTTATGTTGGATAAGTACTAGTTAATTTAATTAATTAGTTTAAGTATTTAACTAACATCACCCATTGGTGATTTATTTTATTAAAAACTATAGGTATTTTACTTTATCACAAGATATACCCGTGTAACTATTTTAAGTTGTCGTAACCGACATGTTGTACGAAACAAACTATTTATTTGTTTATTAATTGTGACTAGGTTTAGCTGATGGAAATAAAAATCTTGCAGCTAGGTTGAAGGTTCTAGGCAGAACGTAAGTAATGATAATAGTATAAAATAAAATGTTTATCTTATCGAGTCAAAGTAATTATGTTAGGTACTATGATATCCAAAAACTGGAATTTCAGTATAAACACACAAATAGGTAGTTTTTTTATCTCTAACTATTATAACTTTATAAAGTTAAAAGTTATTTAATAAAGGTAAGACACAAATGTATGCTAGTAAAATTTGATCGTTTAAAACTCTGTTAACCCTAATTTTGTTATTATTTCATATTTTTTATTAGTCGACAATGTAAAACAATGTGTTAATTAATCGTGTATTATCAATGACAACAAATAATTATCACCACTGATTATCTTGCAGTATTCTCATACAAATCGATGTGTCGCACGGCCTTTTTTTTAGTTGGCGATTCGAGCGCGACAAGCGCAAAAATGATGTGATCTCTCGATTCGTATGAGAATTTTGCAAAAAATACGACTAGAGTGTTTATTTTTACATTCAAGATAATATTCTAAAAATAAATTTAAAAAACACAGATTTTGAAGTTAGAAAAAAAATTCCAAAAAAATCTTCATTGTGGCATCACAGTGAGTATGCGTATACTAATTACCTCACACACTTCAGAAACAACCTGTATTATACTGCATTACCCAGTTTTTATGTTTTTATTTTAATTTGTCGAGATTTTTGAAGCATCATCATTCCTCGTTTAGATAATACCATTTCAAAATACACAATGAAAAAAGTTTTTGTAATTTTGAAACAAATTTTGAGCAAAATTGTAATTTGTTTTATACATTCATCCAACATTAAATTTATGAATAAAAACAAAGTTAAAGTTAAATTTGTAGTGACTTTTTTAAAATTTACATTTCACTCAAGAATCCACCCGATGAATATAATTCCTTTAAATTGCCTGTACAATTCATCAGACTAAATTACCTAATTTGAATTTAAAGCATCTATAAAAAGTAAAAAAATTAAATGTATTAATGAATTGTATAACTGTATGAGTATTATTGTTGTTGTATTGTTTATGTTATGAATAAAAAATTATTACAATAACAACAATACATTTATGTATAACCTTTAAAATTTTACACAAACCTTCATTTTTTTCTTTACTATATTTAATTATTTGTGGTCTGATATGAAAAGAACGTCATGGTATGCAGCTATTTGAGTCAAGTATATTTAATTGAAAAAAAATTGACCACACATTATCCTTGGAAAATACATATTTTAATATTTTTAAACAGTATTTTATCACTTAACAGGGTTGCAATCGTTGAAAAAAAGTGTACCAACTAAAACAATAAGTAGCTATTTAAACCGAAAAGCTTGATTAAACTGTGGCCTGTAGGAAATCGGTTTGAAAGATTTTGATTGATAAACAATTAACAAGTTCATAAATAATAATATATAAATAAAAGAAAATTATTTTTGTGTTTATCGATATCAAAATTCACTGTTCGCAATAGATATATGAAATCCTTAAAACCCTTAGTGAACTTGTCAATTAATGAAAGTCGGTTTTAAAAATAAATATCCGTCAAACACAATGATTAGGTAAAGTTTTGTCTGGGCTTTCGGTCTAAATATATCGTTATTTTAATATGTTGGTGTGTAAGTAATACCTAACGTTAAATTTTGCATTTTGATTTATTTATGAATTCTGCGATTGATTGATTTTTTCTCGTTACTCGTATATTCTAACCGGGTCTTGACTCATATACAGTATCGTAGCCTTATGTAGGTACTTACCTGGCGGCGTCGTCGGTTCAAAACGGAAAAAAAAGGTACCTACCCACACGTCATATTATCAAGCATTCGAGCATATTATTATACATGTTTTCGTGTGTGTGGCGTGTGCGAATGTTATTACGTAGGTATGACTTGTTAGTTACACTTAAACCTAAGACCTAAAGTACCTATCTTATAAGATAAAAAAATCGTATTTGTATGTTCACACATGGATAAACAAGTGTCATTATTGAATGAACAGTTTACTACTTTACTGATGCCTGATGATGCCGAGTGCCGACCACGTTTGATTATAAACTATGTAATCGGAATGAATATAACTATAAAGTAATCTATTATAAATTATAATAATATAGCCATTGTGCCATAAAATAAAACTATAGAATAGTAAAATGGTAAAATTATTTAAATTACATTCATGCTATTGCATAGCCTCATAGCCCATAGGTACATAATATATAATAATTGATATGACCTACCCTCATAATTTTTATTTTATTGTTTACCGTGTTTGGTGTCAAATGTCGACGACATGCTACTTGTACAGTGAATGCTTGTATTACTGAGCGATTACTATATTACAGATTAGGTCCACACACACTGACGAGTCATCCGAACACCATCATGTTAAATTATGCATTCCTATGTTATTTTCCCTAAAACACGATCTACTGGAGTTTGCCAAGTTCCGGAGACATTTCATTGTAACATACAATGTATTAACATTGGTATAGGTATGTGTAATTATGTATAAACTGTCTTATCACATTTTTTTAAGACCATTATAACGAGAATAATTATTTTACGTATGGGATGTAGAATAAACTACAAGGTATACGTAAGTACTTACCTATTTCAATGAGAAAGTCTTTCTGAGAACAGTGGATATATTTTATTACCGACTTAGTTTATATTAAATCAGAATATTATTTGTTTTCAGTGAAGATACTAATATAAATAATAATAAATTAAATGATATTTTAAAATTGTGAACAATTATACTTCGCGCATAGCCACATAGGTACACCATCATGTTGCTAACGTTTACTGTCTTCATAATCAGTATGTAAATATTAAATAGTAGATCCTTCAGGTGCCTATACTATATAGGCAATACAATAGTATTTATAATCAATAGTATATGCTATCGTGCGAGTCGATAGGACAATAATGTAAATATCAAATATATCAATAATAATTCATAAAATATATAGGTCTTTTATTTATACACTACGCATAAAATATTATATGAATAAATAAAAAAATACAATACATGTATGTGTATATAGTAGGTATATAGCTACATTGTATTATTGATGTCACTAATTTTAAAATATTAATGGTTATAGGTAACGATTACTCGCCGATAAAACATATAAATCTCATGCAACATCTATTTAAATATTATGTTAAAAATATAAAATTTCTATTTTGTACACTATATTTTATACAAAATGTAATGTCGTTGACCTAATGCTCAACACAGCAAGAGATCCACGCGCTATTTTTTGGACGGATAGCTGATAAAAATTTGCACAACGAATTGACCCGAACTGGGAAGACGTGAACGAAATAATATATATATAATACCAATATATACTTATATTTAAATAATAAAAACAATTTAAAAAAAAAAAACCAAAAGCAAGTTTAAACAGCAATAATTTTAGCGTAGCCAAAACATAATTGTCTTATTATTACAACAGGACGTTTAAAGTCGGTTACACTTTCCCTATTGATCGTAACAAAATAAAAAAAAACAAGCGGTTTAACATAATGATACATATTTTAAAATAACAACCAAAATCCATTTGAAAGGAAATGGTGCTTTCGTACAAAATATGAAATCAAATTAAAAATAAAGTACCAAGTTAAATATAACCAGAATATTATTTTATTATTTATCATTATTAACAGGTAGGTAGGTATACAACTATTGAAGTACATTGTATTTAATCTACATTATAAATTAAAAGTACCAACCTGTATAATATTGTGTAGATCCGAGATCGTAATATTCAAGAACATAAAAAACGTATTACACCTCCCTTTTTTACACACCTATGAGAACAGCGCACTTATCATACCTACTGGGTAGGTTATATCTATTAATTAGGTATTAATGTAAAAAATCATATAAAATACTTAAGTAATCCTATATTGCATCAAAAAAGTAGATGGTACTTAGATTTTTAATTAATATTAACAAATTACATTAAATAACAAAACAAACATTTAAATAAAAGGTAGGTAGTTATAAATTTATAGTGTGATGAACAGAGCTCTTTGTATGTGTAGGACAAGGGTGGTCGACCCCATATATATAGTTGTGAGTGAAGGAAAAGAAGAAGAAGAAGATAAGTTCATAATGATAAATTATAAAAATGTAATTCTTAATAACCATTTACAATTTCTTATAGATAGGACGGTAGTTTAAATAAATTTCAATCATAATATAAAATTATTAAAATTAATTATTATAATTACCTATATACTTTGCTTAACTTAACATTGGTGCAATAATTATGAAAAGAGAGATATTTAATATCGAAGAAATCATACCCATGTAGAATGTACTTGCTGTTGGGTGTATATTAATATTAGCTTTTCGTCGGAGTGAAAAAAATTGTGTCTTAGAACACTATGGGTGGGTACTGGTATATTAAGGTATTTAAGGGGAAGGACGACTCGCATGGGTGAAAGAAAGATGTATTAAATAAATAGGTTTATATATATTATATATTATAAAATAGTAATGTATATACCTACAGTTGAACAAACAGTATATGAGTATATTATAGGAATGTAACGGAAAGATATTATAAACGAAATAACTTGTGTTCTCATCAACATTTTCAATTTTTTTTTTAATCGATATAATTTATACAGACGCTTGTCCTACACGTATTAACTGCGTAGGTACTATTATTTATTAATTATTAAAAAAAAAAAAATTAAAAGATATTAACTAGAACACGCATGTCATTAAATTTGTCATATATTTATGTTACACTCCGTATAAACCTACATACATGTGTGTCATATGCCTACGTGATTGTCGTAGTAGACATGACCATGTTATGGTCGGAGCGGAGAAATGCGTGTTTCGGAGTGGACAAAAAAAAATATGTGTGGTGTTACTGTGTTAGTAGGTAACGAGATGGACCGCAACCGCCAAAACCATGGTCAGGAACACGGTGCAACCTCCGATGACCACTGAGCCGTTGCAAAGGTCCTGGTCGCACGTGCTGCAGTGTTCGATGCGTATGTTCGCCGGGGTGTTTATGGCGCAAGGGCCATCGTCGCTCCGGCTGTCCGACGCCCAAGCGCATGACCGGATTATCAGCAGCTCGCCGTTCACTGTAATTCACATTACAAACAATAGGTAATATTATCATTCTGCATAAAAATTATCGATTAGATATTAATATAACAACACGATTACACGAAGCAGCCCACATATTATATAAGAAAAAAAAGCGTATATGCATTTTCACACTTTTCCCGTGTAGGTAACGGTGACACGGTGTTGAAACGAGATAATTTTAACTTGTTATCTATTTTTGTATAATAAGTTACCATGACCTATGCATGATAACCTTCGAATACCTAACACACTTAAAGTCATTCGATGGTTTTATGTTGTTTTGATAATCTACTTTATGTAGGCAGGCTTTAGGAAAGAGGGGAATTTGGGACTTTTCAATTTTTTTGAACTAAAAAAACAATTAAAAATAAGGATTTGATCAACACAGCAGAAGAAATTAACTCATATCAGTGGTACCTGACAAAGTTATAAATTATTATTATATTATTATTATTATTATTATTATTATTATTATTATTATTATTATTATTATTATTATTATATAAAAAATATTGGAACCCCCTAGTTATAAGCCCCGAGCAGCGGATTTCTCTCCACAACCTTCCATATATAGATAAAGCATAGATAGGTTTTAGGTCATCACTCCCCTAGGATCCGGAATCCGGATAATACATTTGGCAGTTATTTGCAATCGCGCACTGCAGTAACGCGTTTATGGCTACAGTGCGTCAGTACTACACACTTTTAATTTTCGTATAGGTAGGTACTATATAGACTATAGAGTATAGACCATACAATACACAATTAAATTTTTGAGCTTAAATGGTAAATAAATTGTATTATTTGTAGGTACTGTTGTGTAGACTGCAGTTCTCACATCATCCAATCTATTCTTCATCATATCTAGTTGCAATATTGAAACTCGAAAAAAAAAAAATGTGTAAAATTTTCTGACTAACCTAATGTGTTCTTGAATGTATTGAAGTGTTATCCTGTACTATTGGCTGCTAACAGTAGGTAGTAATTACTGAGTTATAATGTCGATTACCCAAATAGTTGCATTAATATAGTTAGCGTTCTATTGTTTTTATGAAAAATACAATATTTCAGGGAGTCATTAATCATGATAAGTATTATATTATTAATACATAGGTCATGAAAACAATATAGAGTAACTCATGGGATATGGGCCATATTGTACCCATGTGCACATATTTTATCGATTTATACAAAAATTAAATATTAAACTAATAAAAATAAATACAAACATTAGTTTTGTATTCGAATTGTACCTATATATTATATCTATATTATTGTACCTACCTACATCGATTTTTAATAACCATGATGTGGTATCAATGATAATGATTGTTATTATTGTTGTTTTAATGCTACCTTTTTCTCCAAAAATGCGTTTGTAGCACGAAACAGCATATATTGGTAATACCATTGAGTATAGATACCATCTATACTCAATGGTAATACGATGTAAATAATAAAAGGTACTAAACAATATATTATTGTCCAATGTGACATTGTCTAGAATTTAAAATTTAGTATATTCATAAACGTAAAAGTTGGTGACAATTCAGAAAATCAAAGCAATTGCTTATTCAAATTTGAGCGTACCTATACTCTATACTTAAATAAGAGAGATTAAATATTTTTCTAGAAAATTGAAATATTTCTATTGATTGTTATATCATTAACTTGAATGTATGCACAATACAATACTTACTATGATAATACAGAATACTTAAATGTACTTAGAATATTATTACGACTTGCAGCATAAAAAAATGTACTCTTATCTAAGGAAGTAATAATGAGTAGGTAGTAAATAGTAATCTGTAATAATACCTACTAACTACTTTTTATCATTATTGTCATCAGTAGTACCCACGTAGGGTACAAGTAGTGCAATTGCACTGGTTTCTCATTGGTTCCGTGGCCTGGCCTACATACAATTGGGGGGGGGGGGGCACTCTGGTTTCTGGAGCAAACACTGTACTATTGCATTTTATATTTTTATTATTAAATTTGGGGGCCCTATTAATATAACTGCACTGGTCCATGGAAAACTTGTGGGTGCCACTGATTCTCATAATATAAAGGTAAGTATATTTAATGTGAGATGTCAACTGAGCTCTGCTCACGGCCATTTTTAAAATCAGACAACAATTGGTATAAAATGTACAATAGATAATAATATTAATAAGTATATTATACAATACTGGTTTAGTGGTTCGCTCTCAAATTAGCGATGCGAGACAAGTACCCAAACCGAGTTATGAGTATTATTATTCATTTCCATAATTCTTCGTTTTTATTTCTTGCGAAATAATGGTAGGTATCTAATATATAATAAAAAAGAAACCGAATGGACATAAAGTACACATCCATTTAACAAGTTTAGTGTCACCTTGGCGCTATCATGTTTCTCATATAATATTTAGTTTTAAATATTATATACCTATATTTATATAATTATATAAATATAATATAGGCACCAACATGTTATACAAAAAATGTATTATTGTTTATCATTGTGTAAAAACAAAAGGCAAGTATTTATTTATGACAGGCTTTTATAACAACGGTTGTATAGTAGGTACCTGTATAGATTAGGTGTAGATTATTAAATTAATTTAATATTATTGTAATTTAGTAATACAGCACGATTGCGCAATTTTTCCTTTTTTGATCCAACTAATTTTGTTCACATAAATTATTGAACATAGTTTACATGCACATATATCATTTGGTGTGCAATCGTGTTGTGATTTTAACAGGTAAAAAGGGATCGAGGCCCAATCGTGTTGCAAATTTTTTTCGCAATCGTGATATAATTAGTTGGGTCATAAAAGGAAAAATTACGCAATCGTGTTGCACCGACCCGGTACGAACTGAGATTCAAGTGGATCCCAAAATAATTTTAAAAATTATGAATTTTTTGTTGTAATCATCATCTGATGCGTAGGTAATTATTAAAACCGAAAGTACGAAAATCAAAAGCAAAACAATTTTTTTCACTCTATAAACTACGAAGGCTTTTTGTTTAACCGTATAGTTTAACGGAAATATATGCGCATGATATAAAATAATTTATAATGGTACTAAATATATTCTGTAATTTTATAAATTTGTAACAGATATCAATCCACTTGTTAAACCATCAAACCAATATTATGGAGAAAGCAGAGTAATATTATAATAATGTACCATGAAGAAAATGGGAAACCTTCTTTTTATATAAGCTACTTTTAAGCCACCGTTTTACATACTTCATTTCTTCTACAATTATTTATAATAATAGCCAGACGAATCAGTGCTTCGATAATATTATGAATCAATAATAGTAATGTACTAGATATTAGATAGGACAATATTTTGCACGGTTTTTGTTTAATATCGTATATAATTATTAATTAATATAATACAATCATATAAATGGTTAGTTTAACATTGAGGTAGACTATGTAGATAATATAAATATGCTAGTTCGGTGTTTTTTAAACCGTGTTAACCTGTTGAACCCCAGGGTTCCGCGAAACTTAGTGGATTTTTTTATTACATACAAGAACATTACTTTGAAAATATAACTAGAGATATAATATTTTGATTATTTGTAAATTAATTTTTAATCACGTACGTCGTCTAATCAGCACCTGAATGGGGGTAGAGTAAAGTTTTTAATCAGTATTTTCCAAATGAAAAAACCGAATATTATTTATATCAAAATGCATCGTGGATTGAAAAACCCTTTATTGTCAATGCCTGCCCTTCAACATGTCAACAGAGGAATATGAAATTTCGATTGACATGACATCTGATTCATTTTTGCAAGAACAATTTTAATTAATGCCGTTAGTTGAATTTCGGTGCAGTTTAAAAGATGATAATATCGGAATAGTTGTTTACGTGCTTGGACTTCATTACTTGTAAGTTATATATTGTGGATGTCAAAACTTTTATTGTTGTATACTAAATGTACATCGAAATATTTAAACAAAATAATACCTGTAGGTATGTCCATCGCCTATATCTTATGCCACCATGTCAGAATGTTTGCAGGTGGAATATGTAAATATATTACCCATGGTATGTGCTATGCGTTTGATAACTTAAATTAAATTATTACGATATATTCTCATACATAGGATATAAGAACACTTACAACTCATACATCTCATACACGTATCTTATTTCTCAGTGATGCACTATAGTCCAGCTGGATATACTATGAATAGTTCAACTGTTCAAGGACGAAGACAAGATACTCGTGTGTCCGTAGTCCGTTAAAGTCTGCTTTGGCGATCTAAAAATGTATATTATACATCGAGATTCGAGATTTATCGAATGAGCAATAGTTTCAATATTGTTTATTGGTTATTTTTGTACACCATCACTATTCAGTGTACATAAATCTTAAAAGTGCACTTGTGTCCGACGCATTTCGGTCTTTTAAGAGACCATCTCGGTCTTAAGTGTTTTACAAGCGACTTATTGTGGTCTCGACATGATACCCATCATAGTAATTAATAACCATTAATAAATTACGTAGGTACATCGTACGTTACTTATGGAATAATAATTGGATACCAATAACCAGTTATAGGTATATAATTAATATTGTATTGAACGTTGCTATAATATCTCGTGGCTGTGTGTGTGTATCATAATATCGGTGACTATTTGTAAAACAATGGGGGTCGTTTACCTATTGATATCGAAATAAACACGATTTCGATGACAATCTCGTTTTGGGGGGTGGAAAACAAAAATCGATTTTCGTATAAACAATATAATATTACGTAACACCCGTTACCCACAAATTATGCCACGTCGAGTTTTGGGAACCCGCCTGGGATGGAATTATGAAAATAGTATAATAATATCGATGAAAATAATAACGTATATGGGGCCTACGATTGCGTAGTTAACCGTTGTGACTTGTGCCTCGATTTTTCACGCGGTCGATGAGAACCGTTTCACGGTGTGAATTGTATTCGGTCTTATAATAGTGGTCGCG